TGCAGCGACATCGACATAATTCATAGAATATAGAGACAACGGCTCTAGCCAAGTCATGTGGTCCGGTTGGATAACATAATCCAGTTTGGAAAATTTCTTGATGCAGAACCATAGGAAAAGGAAAGCCTTCACTCTATTGGAAGGTCCAATTGGAGAGGTTCGGGGTTGTACTTGAAATTTCCAATTGGTGCTAAACAGTAAAGAGAAAGTTGGAAGGCGCGCAATGTTGTTAACTCGGCTATAATCACATAAGCGGTGTCTACGCCGGTAAGAAGAAGATATACGCTATTCTAAAGTCTCCATATGAAAAATCACGAAATTACGTAAACATAATTTTAATTTATTCCACTTCCGAGTTTTACTAGAGCGCGAAATGCTAATTGGGTTATATTGTATTTTGTTGCTTTTCAGCTGTTAGTGTGATAAACTCTGTTGCATACGACGCCTTGAAATGCTCAACAACGCCGCAGACACCTGCCGAACTTTCACTTGTCTGCTAGGCCAACCGTAGCCAGTTAGCATAAGCCCACACGATATTACTTTTAGGAGACAAATACAACATTTATGACTTGACTGATGCTGTACTTTGCTGTCCATATTATTATTATAATTTTATTTATGCCTTCCCTGGCTGTAGACAATATTCAGCAGCAAAGTTTTTGCCGCACCAAAATATTTATTGTGTTTTTCTTGCCACCGACGACTCATTATTGTAGTTGACTTGCGGCAACAGACAAGTAATTGTTCTTTTGGCAGATTATTTATGTTGGGCAGTGCCATCATTGTGCAACTGTGCAACGCCACCTACATTTGGTGGTATGACCACAGTGACGACAGTTTGTGGTTGAACGTAAATAAATTTTCCTCATATTGTGGTTGTTTCCTTTAGTACATGAAATTGTTGTCAATGCTTGTTGGATATATATAAATATATATATATATATATATATATATTTTTTTTTTTTTTTGCTACGGCTGCCATGTAGTCTCTGAGACGGTGTAGAAGCAGTAGGTGGCTCTTCTTGTTGTCTGTTGCTTTGTTGCTGTTATCTTGTGCTGCTGTATTGTCATTTCGTTGTTTTCGCTGGTAACTTTAATGTTCTTAATTTTATTTTATTTATTTTTTTATATATTCATATATGCCCGTATACAATTAAGCCACATCCGCATCTGACTTTCCTGTTGTTTTTTTTTCTTTCTCTCTTTTATATCTGTCTGGCTCATTGTTTTTATTTATCAACTTTTTATTATTGCTCTTCTTATTGCTATTGCTGTTGCATACTCATTGTTTTTCGAAAATTGCCATTTACCACATTTCCAAAGCGGTTTTGGCCAACCCCACACACATTGTGGTCTCTGCGTTGTGCTGCTCGAATGGCACGCGCTTTACACAAAGCCCAACAATGCCAACGGTTCTCTGTAGACCACCTCGCAGCCGTGGCATGCCAATCTGGCAATTGTTGCCGGTTCCAACGACACTTTTCCGTGGTTGGGAAATTACGTAATTTTCACTTGATGAAGATTTACGGCTGGCGTGCAACATAAACGCACTAACTGGCAAATTGTGGTGGGTGCTGGCCAATGGGCATTAGTCCGCTGTGCAGCTGCTTGAATGTGAGTAGGAGCCAACATACATACATACATACATACATAAGTGTTGAAAATCACAATGAGATAAGCTTTGCTTTGGTCTTTGGCCACTCGCCGTCTGTTGGCCTTTAGTGTGCTTTTGTTGTTAGTCCGCAATAATGACAGCTCTATTTACCTATTCAAAGCTCCGTTAATGCCTAAGAATAATAAAAACAGTTAGAAAACAATAACATTCACTAAAGTCACAAACACAAAATGAAATCTGATGGCATTTATGTATGTCCATGCATACGCATAAAACACTTAAGCTTAAGCGCATTAATTGAATAAATCACAATAAATAGCCAAGGAGGACCAAAGTTAAGATAAATTAGTGCGTTTGTAGTGGAAGCTAAATTTTCTTTAGCGAACGACTTTGTTTTTGCGAAAGCTCTTTAAGCTCACTTTCACTCACTGTATGGGCTTGGCCTTTCAAATTTTTTTTCTACTGTTAATATTTTCTTTTAAGCTTAAAAGCCTCCTGGCATAACAAAGCAATGAAGGAACTTGCTCGAGTCGTTTTAATTATAAAAAAAATTTATTTAAATTATTTTGAAAAGAAAAAATTCAAAGCCAATAAAGGTCGTAGAACTTACACTACTTTAATTTGGCTCAACTTATACACTACTTCGTGGATTTTAAAAGCTCATTCGACAGCAAGCAAAACTATACGACTGTGTAAATTGACGCTAAGTAGCACCAAGAGCTCCGTCTGTACGGAGAAGATCCTTTCCGAGGCATTGGATACAAAACAAAACTTTAATCCCCAAGAGTGTACAACTACTGCCGTATGCCTTTGATATTGATATCACGGGTCTTAATAACCCTGCCGTGAGTAATGCTGCCTGTAGACTGAATAAGGAAGTGAAGCGTAGAGGTCTGGTAGTGCTGACACCAAACAAACAGTCACCGGGTCTCGGCTACCACGTCACTTTTGAGAGTGAAAACTTTTAAGTCGTAGATAACTTCGTCTTTCTTGAAATCAGTATAAACACCAACAAAAATGTCTGCCTAGAAATTCAACGCAGAATCCCTTTTTTTAACAGGTGATACTTTGGACTGACTAAAAAATAAAGGAGACCCTCGTTGAATGAAGACCAAACTCTACAAGACGTATAATTTTTGATATTTGGTGCAAGTCTTCTACGATCTGGCAACGGCAAGTACCGCAGCCGATAAGAACTATGAGCTGCACAAGATATACGCCGGCATTGACATAGTTCAGGGAATCAAGAGACAACGGCTAAGCTAGTTATGTCGTGTGGTCCGGATGAATAACATTACTCCAATTTTAAAAAATTATATTATTATTGGTTCTCGGTATTAAGTTCCTCTCATCTTCTAAACCTGAGTTGCAGATTTACAAATCGTAATGATTCGATCTGTTTGGCAACACCATTCATTTCCTAATTCCACTTCTGATTTTTTAGCAAATTAGTTGCCCAAACTTGTTTAAAGTTCTTTAAAGAAGAACCTCATTAAACTGCTTACACTTTTATGAAAATACCGAAATGCTTCTTGAACTGCAGCTGTATCACTTACACAAATACATGTTCAATAGAGAATAAGTAGCTTATTCACCTATATTCCTGAAATTGCGTTGCTATGAGATGACTGTCGGCTTGTGACCAGCGCCTGTTGATTGTTAAGCCCCTATAAAAATTCTATCCTACCTACAAAAGCGTACACCATTTGGTATGTCATCCGATGCTTAGTGCTAGATAGTAACATATTCTTTATTCTCAATCATCAAAGAGCAAACCATTATTTTACTATTATTACTGTGGTAGCCAGATGATGGAGAACCGGCACAGAAGAAGTAAATTAACTCACCTTTTTGTGTTCTGCCGCTGCTGGATCTGTTTTGACTTGTGGCACCTCATTTCATTTAACCATCTGCCTTTTTCCAGTTTTACCATATGTGCCCATATTGTCTGCAGGGCTCCCATTGGGTAAAATTACTCCTTCATTCGCAAGCTCATACGCCTGCAGTTGACCGTTACATTTTCCCGAATACCTACATCCCAATCGTGTGCCGCATTTCTCTAAACCCTTTACAGAAATCTGCAATAATGGGACCTTGGCTGCCAGATTTAAGAATAAACTGTAAGTCTCTGCATTTATTAAAAAAAATATCCAGACGCAAAACCACATCGGACGAAAATCGCTTCAGCAGAGAAAAGGCCGCCAATTAAATACATCTTCATTAAATACAAATCAATAATAATTTGTAGAGCAGCTCCGAGTGTATTTCGGGGGCGGTTTTAAATGAACTGTAGGTCCCTCCATTTGTTGGAAAAACTTGTAGACGAAAAAGCACAAATTGGAGCAGGAGCTCGGTCGAAAATATTTCCAATAATAATTATTATTGTAATTAATAAAATTTTTGCAGTTCGTCCAACCAATATGAAAATGCTTTCCAAGAATTAAGACATTTGGGGATATTTTAAAAGTCTGCCGGTAATCTTTTATCAACAATATAAATTCCACTTCTGAATCATATGACCTTAAAAGTTGGTACCTCTCCTGAGTTTTGCGAGTTCGCAATTTTAGCTGGGTTCAGTCTCACTTATTATTAACGTAGATAAGTACTAGAGATTTATTAGAAACAGGTCCATACTTACCAGAAAACTTTCTACATCAAAATTAAGTCCTCCTCTACTATTTTAACCTTTCTCCCACCGTAATTTAGGGCGACTAAAATTTGTATAAAATAGAAATGTTCGTATTAAGCCTTAATAACTATCCTTAAATACTGAAACTTTGTTTATATTACCGTTTAATTGAATATTGTCAGTACAAGCATACACATCGGTGTCTATTGATTGCTTAGATGGGCGTAACCGCACTGCGTTTGATGTGTTCTGACCACAATGTCCTGAACACCTTTTGCTCGCACTGTTGATAATGACGTTGAACATTTATTTAGCCGCCGGCTGGCTGCTTTAGCCAAACTCAAAGGCCGCAAATGCCAAGCACGCCTACACCCAGACCAAAGTACAAGTTCATTAACTTGGATATTAAGCACACAAAGCCTTGCCACTAAATCTACCAACAGATAATTGTAGAAATTACAAATTAAAGAAGTGTGTGTTGATTATAGCACATATGTATACATATAAATTTACACACATATAATCCACACTCAAGACACACAACTGCAACAAATTGATTATCGGCGGCGTCAAATCAGCATGAAATCCGCCTGTCACAATGAATAATGGCTGAGTCAGCTTACAGCAGGCCCACACATATGTTGCTTGACACTCACAACAATTGAACACACTCACTTGAATACATATGTGTTTTCCATTACTGCCTTTCGTTTTATTCATCAGCCATACTATTTTTCTCTTTCGCCCCTCTTGCAGGTCTATAGTATGTCTACACCGAAGAGCAGTCGCGGTGGCGGTAATGGCAGCGTTTTTGGTGGCGCTAGCTCATCGGCTGGCAGTGGTAGTGATCCGAAGGAAAAACTACGCCGCATACCCAACGTACAGCCGGGCACACTCATGTGTCAGCATCTTATGAAGGAGGGCACTTATGGGCGTATCTATGCTGGCAATCTGGGTGACTCCTGCGATGTTATTATAAAAACTGTTGTTGATGGTGCTTCGCTGACGCAGGTCGCCTGCTTGTTGCAGGAAGCTTCGACGCTAATCGGCGTGTGTCATCCGAATATATTGACGCCTTTGTTGGCGAATACAGAGTTGCCAGGTCCGCCTGAAATTGCTTATGCCTATCCGTCCAAGGGCAATCTGAAGATGTAAGTTAATCCATCGACAGTCGTGTGCAAAATAACTGGAATATTAACTATTAATTGTCTCTTTACAGCTACTTGCAGAAGTCGCGTGAACTCAACTCGCCGCTCAGTACCCGCCAGCTGGTTGAATTTGGTCTGCATGTGACCAAAGGTCTGGCGCATCTGCATTCAATCGGTATTGTGCACCGTGATGTTGCAACGCGCAATTGCTAGTGAGTGTCTGCTCCATTACTTTAATTACTCTAAAATTTGCAGAAAATTACCTTACCTTTTTAATTCTCTAAAATAGCAAGAACATCAGTTAGATATTTATATGATTTGTTCACTTTCACTTCTTTCCAGTCTCGATATGGATTCCTATGTGAAAATTTGTGATAGCGCCTTGTCGCGCGATCTCTTTCCCGATGACTATCATTGTCTGGGCGACAATGAGAACCGTCCACTCAAGTGGATGGCTTTGGAGTCGCTACAAAAGAAATACTTCAACACTTATACAGACGTTTGGTCTTTGGGTGTGCTGTTTTGGGAGTTAGCCACGCTGGCGTTAACGCCTTTCGAGGAAGTGGATATTTTTGAGCTGAGCGCATACCTTTCGGACGGTTTTCGATTGGGTCAACCCATTAACTGTCCAGATGAATTGTAAGTACTGTCATTTCATTTTAAAGAATATCTTAGCTTAAAACCTTATTGAGAGACTTTCTCGGAAAAGTTTTAAGTAATTCAATTTTGTTAGGGAAATGAGCTTGGCACATAGTCTTTTTAAAATATTAGGGTTTATACTGACGCAGAGCCGATAAAGAATAAGTCCAATATGAGGCCTTAAACATCCCCAATTGGGAAGACATATACTTCATTCTTTTTCGCCTCCGAATGTCAGAAATAAATACAATCGGCTGCTAGAATATTTAATGTTATCAGACTAGCCATGAGCATATCTGAACTTTTGTAAGAGAGGTTAAAAAGTTATTGCATAAGCTTGTCATAGTGTATTCCTTTCAATATGAAGATGATGACGTCGGCGTATGCACTCACATAGGCACCCAACAACCAATAATGCGTTATTCATTCCTTGCTTTCCCTGTTTGATACAAACGGAGCAGTGATCTTCTACATCCTCCGCTTCTACCAGCAGGTGCTTCATCGAAAACTTTCAAAGTTAAGCGCTGCCATTCATTCGAACGATATGACTTAGCCTATTCGCTGTATATCTCGTACAGCTCATCGTTCCATCGGCTACGGTATTCATAGAGAACCCTAAATTATACACAAAACTTTTCTCTCGAAAACTCCTTACGCTGAATCAGCAGATATTGTTAATGTGCATGCCTCAGTACCATAAAGCAGGAAGGGCATGATGATGAGCGACTTGCAGAGTTTGGTCTTTGGCTGGCGAGCGAGATCTTTACCTTTCAATTACGATTGTCAACTGTGACGTGGGAGCCGGGTTGCAAATGTGCTGACTGTTTGAAGGTATTTCATCTTGCACTTGATACCACCAGATCCATGTTTTCGCTTCCTTATCCAGTCTGGAGAAAGCAGAACTTACGGTGCAGTTGTTGAGGCCAATAATGCCAATATCATCGGCGTATACCAGCAGCTATACACTCTTGTAGAAGGTAGTACCTTCTCTATTCTTTATTAAGCTTGGCAGATGTTATTATTATTTCTAAGAGTAAATTATTAAAGTCACACGATAAAGAATCACCTTACCTGAAAGTTAGTTTGGTATGGAACGGCTCGGTGAGGTCCTTCCCGGTCCTGATGGAGCTTTTAGTGTTACTCAAGGTCAGCTTTCGCAGCTGTATAAGTTTTGCGACGAAGAGGTGGTGAGTGTCGATTTTTTTTACACGAGTCCTTTACAAGATTTGGCGCATGCTAAATATCTGATCAATGGTCGATTTACCAGGTCTAAGCCCACACTGATGAGATCCAATCAGTTTGTTGCATGTGAGCTATAGTCTTACACACAATATGCTCTATATCCCCTTATATGCGATACTGAGAAGGCTTATCTCACGCAGACTGTGGGATTTCCAATTTTAAAGAGTGGGCATAACGCACTTAAGCTCTAAGCACCGGACATACTTTCATCCAACCACATTTTTCAAAGAAGCTGATGCAATCACCTTATCCCATAGCCGTAACTCGACCGGCAATCCATCGGCCAGCGCCGCAATTCGTACTTCTTCACAGTCGGGAAAAGAAAAATTTGTGCCATCGTCGTTAATGAGGAATCAAGTTTGCCATCTCCTGGTGTTTTTTTCTCACTGCTATTCAACAGGACATAAACATCGACAACCTGAGTCCCACCTCGGTTCCTACATGAGTATGTTCCGGTCTTGAAACCTTCTGTGGCTCGCTTCAACTTTTCATAGATTTCTCCAGCATTACTCTTGTCGGATGGCTACACAAGCTCTTTGTACTCACGTGTCTCGGTCTCTTTCTTTTTTATGTGATTCGTTTTTCTACCCTTTACAATTCTTGGTATCTATCGCATCCCGCATGTGTATTTGTCGATTTCAGTGAGACTTTAGGTGTTCAATGTATGCGTTGAAGGTTAATTTCGTGGGGACGCAGTTTAGGTTGCACCATGGCCGGGAATTTATCCTTATCCGCTTTGTAACCGCTGAAGCGATTTTCGGTCGAGCTCCTCCTCCAATTCGTGGTTTTGGAGGGCCTAGAGTTTATACTAAGAAACGGCTGATGGTTTTTTTATAAGGTGCTTTATTTCATGTCAGAAACATACTCGGAGGGGTTGACATTCCCTGCCGAGGGGCGACCGCAATTAGGAAATTTAACTTAATTTTTTATTTAAAATAGTTTTCTATTACTTTTGAATGTTAGACGCACGGGGGCTTGAACCCGTGCCTTCTGAATGGCAATATGCAATGCTAACCACTCGGTTACCGCGGCCGCCCGAATGAGCGCAATGAATTTTCGTGATACCATCGGCGTATATTACAGACTCTCGCAAAAACTAAGAAGAATGGTTGGTCCAACATATTTTTGTATAAAAAATATATTTCACTTGAGATAAAGTGTACTCACTAGACGCTGCAACATCTCAGCGTAAGTTGATCTTCATTATCTAACCACTGTCCTGTACAATTCAGGATGGCAGAGCTGTTTATGATAACTTTCCTCAGTCCTTGCTTTCCTAGATTTTCATCAAAAGTGTGAAAAAATCCTCGATGTTCTTCTAATGATTATTTGAGAGTTCATAGATGACAGAGTAGGGAAGAGTTTTTTTTTAGCTCTTTGAAAAATGCTTGACACATAATACTGAGAGCAAAAAGTAAGGTGAATTTTTAATTTGAGCTTCGTGTGTTTAATATTTCGGGTTAACTCTTGTTAATCGCACAGTTATTGTTATCTACGCCAAATTTCATGTCAATGTAATCCTTGGTATTGCATCACGATAATGCACACAGCGCTCGTTCTTCGTGACAATTTCGCTAAAAAATCCACGAATATTGTTCCCCAACCGCCGTATTCGCCGGACTTAGCACCATGTGACTTCCGGCTCTACCAAAAACTCAAGAGACCACTTCGGGGACACCGTTTTGAGTCGATTGAGGAAATTAAATGTGAATCGGCGCGCTCTCCGAAGGCCATACCAGAACGTGACTATTTAACATACTTCGATAATTGGAGAAAGCATTGGCATAAGTGCATTGCAACGGCAGGGGACTATTTTGCGGACGACAAAATCGATGTATTGTAGAAGAATAAATAAAGATTTTTAATTTTACAAAAAAATTCACCTTACTTTTTGCTCACAGAGTATACTCTATTTTAGATATTCGGTACAGTTTATAAAATTTTTTTTACTTATAAAATTTCTCTGTTTTTAATTTCCATTTTACAGCTTCACAGTGATGTCCTGTTGTTGGCTGGAGGATCCCAAACAAAGACCCTCCTTCCCACAACTACTGGCGTACTTACAAGATTTCCACGAGGATCTTGGCAAGTATATATAAATAAGATTCAGAGCAGAACGGAAAATAGCTGTAAATAGGTTAAAAGCCAGCTAATAAATATATATGTACTTGTAAGTGTGTGTAAAGAAATAGAAAAATCTATCAAATTGATTGAACGTTTTAAATTTAAATTAGTTAGTTATAAAAATAAGAAGTTATGAATGTGAATGTAAATAAATAGGAAAAAATAATACACACACACACATACACACGCAGACACAACTATTACAATAACAATTGAAACATTCAATTATGCAATGATTTATTCAAGAAAAACCGGCAGAAAAAAAACATAACGAAATTGAAATAACTCTTTGCAATGACAAGGGAAAAGAGTGCAAAAAAATTAAAGAAAAAAATTTCAAAAAAAATTTCAAAAAAATATGAAAAAAAAAATTGAAAGAAAAATGTGGAAAAAAATTGTGCAAAAAAACTTAAGGCATATTTAATAAAATTAATTAAATTGGGCGCCATATTTTTTTCCCATTCACAAAATGATGTGGTCGATAAGTGCGCCAAGGGTGTTGACACAACAGAATGACACACACACAGCCACATACACATACACACACACCGAAATCCCCGCACATCTATTGTTATTGTATTTATTGTACTTATTATTATATTTAATAACGCAATGTGGTACATACAAACATACATATATGTATATTTTTTTAAATTTAAGCGAATTTACATAGATATTTAAAGAATATATATATTGAACATATTTTTTACATATAAATTTTACGTATGTGAGTATGTCGGTAAGTATTATTAGCGAAAATGATGATAGTTTTTAAAGGACATAACGAAAAAAATAAAAACAAAAAATGATAAAATTAATATGAAATTTGTGGGAAAAAAAGTCTGGTATGATGATTGAATAGTTAAATTGAAAACTGGTCGAGAGCAAATAAAAAGTAACAGCAAAACAACAAAAAAGTGAATTAAAATATTTATTGTGCGATAATTGTGCGCAAATGTTTCAATATTTACAGAAAAGTTGGCGCATAGACATATGTACATACTCGTACATACATACAGACGTATATTTAGTATGTAAACAGTTAAACACATATTTGTATTATATAATATATTTACAAAATAGGTATTTATGTATACATATGTACAATATATGTATTTAAGAAATAAACTTCACAAACATACAAACAAATTTCTAGATATGTATGTGCGTGTGGCACCCCGCTTAACAGCATATGTTAATGCATTAATTAATAATTGAGGGGAACATATATGTATGTATACATACACACCAAATTCACACCACAATTGCTAAAGCGTTAAGATTTAAGCAAGATTAATAAATGTTATTAACAATAAGTTTTACAAAAACAAAAACCAAATATTGTAAAGCACGTTAACAAACGGATAACTTTATTGTTACATAAATAGCATTAATTCACTGCAATATAGAATAAACATAACTGCCATACATAAATATACACAAACATATACATACATACATACATACATACATACCGACTTAACATATATCAACAGTATCGAAAAAAAAATAAATAAATTGTGCAATAAACCGCAAAAGGTCAAGAACAAAAGAAATTTAATGTTGCTTGATTATTATTAATACTATTTTTTGCTATAAATATTTTATGATGTACTTTTGTGCACCACAGAGTTATTTTAAATAGTCAATTTGGTTAGAGTACATAATATTTTCATATTATACAAACACAAATTATTTCCTTATTTATTTTTAATCTAAATGCCCAGCGAAAATTGCGGAGAACTCGCAGTTGTTATAAATAATTGTATGTATGTAACATATATCTTCTCGTAAACAGTTGAATTTTTAACATTATTTAAAATCGCAATAACAATAAAACTGCTCCAAAAAGGAACGAATAAATGAAAAGTAAATTAATCCAAACGAAATAAATTCAAATATTATAAGAAATAAAATAATATCGAAAAAATAAAAGAAATAATGGGATATGGTATAAATTAAAAGAAAATATTATGAAATTTAATATTATTAAATGAAGTAAAATAAATGAAACAACATTCAAAAATTATATAAGCTAAAATTAAATAAAGTAAAAGTCAAATAAAATAAAATCAATTAAAAGAATGGTTAATTTATTTCTAATGAAAATGAATGAATGAATAATGAAAAAAAATAACTCAAATAGAGTAATAAAACAAATTAAATTAAATTAAAGGAAATTTAAATAACTAAAAATTAAAAAATAAAATAAAATAAAATAAAACAAGATAAAATAAATTAAAATAAAATAAAACAAAATAAAATTAAATAAAATTAAATTAAATTAAATAAAATAAAATCAAAAAAATTAAATAAANAATAAAATAAAATAAAATAAAATAAAATAAAATAAAATAAAATAAAATAAAATAAAATAAAATAAAATAAAATAAAATAAAATAAAATAAAATAAAATAAAATAAAATAAAATAAAATAAAATAAAATAAAATAAAATAAAATAAAATAAAATAAAATAAAATAAAATAAAATAAAATAAAATAAAATAAAATAAAATAAAATAAAATAAAATAAAATAAAATAAAATAAAATAAAATAAAATAAAATAAAATAAAATAAAATAAAATAAAATAAAATAAAATAAAATAAAATAAAATAAAATAAAATAAAATAAAATAAAATAAAATAAAATAAAATAAAATAAAATAAAATAAAATAAAATAAAATAAAATAAAATAAAGTAAAATAAAATAAAATAAAATAAAATAAAATAAAATAAAATAAAATAAAATAAAATAAAATAAAATCAAATAAAATAAAATAAAACAAAATAAAAAAAAATAAAATAAAGTAAAATAAAATAAAATGAAATAAATTCAAATAAAATAAAATAAAATATAAAAAACAAAGTAAAATAAAATAAATTAAAAAAATAAAATAAAACCAACTAAAAAAATAAATTAAATAAACAGAATAAAATAAAATATGCGGTCACATTGTTCTAGTTTTTTTAAAAGACACTAAATGAAGTATACAATTTATTTTGTTTACATATAAAAGTACAATATGTGGACATTTTTGATGAAAATTTGAATGGAAAATAGTATAAGTTAAGGCGTTGGCAGTGTCGTGAAGTAGACCGTCCACAAGAAAGTGCTTTCGTGTTAGTCTTGATAACTTTTTCAATTTTTATTTGAAATCAAAAATACAATTTTTTTCTAAAAGAAGCTGAACTTTTCTTGTTTCTGAACGAAGAAAATTTAAAAATTAAATTTTTTGTAGCGTTTTTAACAAAAAACATAATTTTTTGCATAAAATTAGGACACATATTGGCTTGTAAAATGAGTTGAAAACGAAAATAAAATAAATTCTTCGTTCAAGGACTACAAAACCATGCATAAAAGAAGTGTGGAAAATTTGAACTCGATCGTAGTAGAGAAATTTTGACTACCGATTTCGATCAAAAGGTTTTAAGAAAAACACGTTTACAGTGTCGCCATCGGACAAGTCATGAAATAGGCGACGGTTATAAAACTCTCTAATTTCTGCAGTTTCGTCTGGAGCGACCTGAAACTTGGGGAAAATATTCCTGACACTTTGTACTCTTATACAACAAATTATCAAAAAATTTCAATTTTTGAAGTTTCAAGACCGACATACACGTATGTAACCCCTTAAATAATGTAAAATAAATAAAATGTATTTTTATTGTGAAAATAATGAAATTAAAAAATAAATTTAACACGATAAACTCCAAATAATTGCAGAAACATTAAGAAAATACTGAAGTGAATGTATGAAAATGTACATTAAAATAAAAAAAAATTTACTAGAATAAAAAAAAATTAATTAAAAAAATATGTAATTGAAATAAATAAAACAAATACTCTTTTAGCGCATTTTTCGTGTGCAGAATTTACTTATAAATGCAAGCAAATAGAATTCCAATTTTTTATGGAAAGCTGTTCATTAGCCTTTTCGTGCCAGCTGGGTATAAAAAATATCAATTTACAGACATACAAATGTATGTATGTATAAACACTCACCAACACTGCCTGCCCGCCACTTTATGTTTTCACATACATACATACATACATACAAACAGGCGATCAAACAATAATCTTCATCTAAACGGATTTACGTTTTCCATTTCATACAACGTTGAAGAGAAATTTTATTGAAACAGTTATGAATGTGAAATCTCACACAAAGCAAGCAATAGATTAGCAAACAAAAACATTAAATTAAAAATAATAGATAGATAAAGGATAAAAAATTCAATAGAAAATATATGGAGAAAAATAATACAACGCAATTGAAAGAACTATTGACAAATTCTTTGAAAAAGAAATCATAAAATTATATGCACCGAATACAAAAACAACTGCCACACCCATATCCAAGCAACTTACATACAATTGAAATACAAAAGGAAAAAGTACAGGTTAATTGAAACACACAACACAACACAACACACATGATAAAACGAACAAAGGAAAAATTTATTAACTTTAATGTAAAAAAAGAAATAAATAACAAAAAAAAATGTGAATGAAAATGGAAACGAAACCAATTTGTGATTGTGTCAATGTTACAACTATTAATTGTATTTTAATTAACTTAATATAACGTTAATGTTGCAAATTAATAGGTGAATAAAAATGAAAAAGCAAAGCAAACAATAAAACCAATGAAAATGAATTAAAAGGTGGAAAAAGCCGAAAAACCAATGGAAAAAAGTTCTACTCTTACTATTTGTATGTATATTTATATATGTATGTCTTCATTTCTCACTCTAAGTGTTCTTTGTCAACTTTTGTGCACACACACATACACACACTCTAACAGTTAAGAAGACCAACTACATAAGTAGATACACACATACATACATAGATACATATAAAACACATTCATACCTAATAAATGTATACGTAAATCTGTATTTGCATGTAACTGTACACGTAACTGTAACTACTAACTGTAACTACTAACTGTAACTTTAATCGTAACTTACATTTTATATTAACTGTATATTCCAATAGAGCTCAGCAATTCAACTCACTCACTCACTCATTCACTCATTCACTCACTCACTCACTAAAAGGT